TGATTACTCCTGTGAGTTTCATGACAACAGGCCTATCGGTTTTCCTTGAAATGTGTTAACAGTGTTGCATATATGCTAAAAAGTGAAAAAACAACATAAATTCTACAATAATGGCCCGATCATGCTGATTTTCGAACTTGACCTGCGTTTTGTGAATATTAGTCAGCTCTGTAAATATAAAGACAAAAAGTAAAACTGTCTTCCACTTATGGTGTTAACGCTGAAAGTGCACGGCGACGGCGACGGCGACATGATCGGCGACGGCGACGGCGACGACAGACGCAGGTGATAGCAATATGTACAGACACATCTGTGTCTGTACATAAAAATCACAGTAAGTGGGTAATATAACATCTAAAATAGATCATCTTGATCTAACAATTATTTCAAATACTCTTTATGTTAAACAGATAGATAGCAATTACAATTAAATTACCACATGCACCAAATGATAACAGGAAAAACATTTAACAAAGAGTACACAATAATAAGGCTAATTCATTAACATGTAGTAAATAGAACAATCGACATAGTTAAAGTAGTATCAGGAGTGTTACATGAAAATGCTTTTATCCATAAAATGGCTGGTTATTGACATTTATCCTACATCCATAGTCACATGTAGTTTCATTTTCACAACAATTTTAGTTCAACAATGTTTGTACAATAACTGATGTACAAGTGAATAAAAAAAAATCAAGAAGAAGGAGGCGAAAGCATGTAAAAATCTTTTGTCCATCCTAGACCAATTACCTGAATCAATTAAGGTAATGGCTAAGGGTAATGTTATGTAACCACTGCATATAACACAAACATTAGAAACAATGTTTTAAATTTTCAAGGGATGTACAAAGAAAATGATCCATTTGTAATGTTTAACCATCAGACTTTGGTGTGCTGAAAGCCTCAGATTTGGAACGCTGTGCTTTGAACAACTGTTCATACAGTGCATCATTACATTCTGCTTTGCGGCTCTTCAACTGAAATCAAATACAATTTCAATAACTTCAAGTCAAAATTTCTTAGAAAGTGTAAAATCCCTGACTCTTAAAATTAGTTGAAACCCCCACCAACCAAAACCACCCTTTATAAATCAGTGGCAGCATGTTTACGAATACAATACTTTCACAAATGACTCTTAATTCTTTACTTCTTACACATTCAGAAATGCTCCATCATTACTTACATTCACAGTAACAACAACAACGATTGCTATTCCTATTAATATGAATAACACCCCATAGATCTTAAACAATTTCAGAATTCTAAATCACAAAAAATACCTTTTTAAGTCCCTTTTTCCCCTTTTTATTGCCTAGATTTGGGGGTGCACTAACGCATGCCTCTGCCACCTCAGACACCTCGTCCATCTCATCATCACTGTGGGTGCTGCCACCATACAGCTGCCTCTCAGACTGAAGAAAAAAAAATATATATATGTAGCAGCCGTCAAGAAATATAGATGGACGTGATGTTCAAGACAATCTACACTCACACTTTATTGACATGAAGTGATGAAACACGATAAATTTTTATTGACATATAAGATGTAAGTTAAAGACAATTAAAGGTATTTAAGGGTAAAGTGAAAAATAAGAAATGAAAGTTTTTGAAGTAATAAATTAAGATAGCATCAAGTAATGTAGGTGGCATGTTTTAATTTTTTGGGAAAGGGGATGCAGTGTTACTTGTTGTAATTTGTTACTTACATCAGCATTTTATGAAAAAACATAAAAAATAGAAATTGATTGCTTTGTTAAGAATCACAGAAATCAAAAAAGAATAATGAACAGAAAAAGTTAAAACCAACACTGATTTGTGTTACAGATATAAAAAAAAATCTGAATTGGTCTGAGCACATACTGTATCTTGTGAAGTGATGGGACATGCAACATTTTGTTTCATTACCTGTAACTGTGCATTGACAGTCTGCTCTATAGGTGCTATATTACAAAAGAACTGTCTGTAGGCTGCCCTTGCTGATGTATTGGTTTTCCTTGAAGAAAAAAAAATCATCTCTCACAGTTACCTAGCAACACCAAGTTTTACAGCTGCACTGAATTAATATCAAGACAAAAACAAATATAACCATTAACATCTACATCAGATCCCACTTTGCTCAAAGCACTGTCTATTATCTGGGATCAATACATCATACAAGCAAACAGACACAAGTGCTAGTCTAACATCTCTTGACACTTAGATGACTGTTATCTAGACTCACGTGTGCCTGGATACAAGCCTCTGCTTTGTGAATGCGTTCAGTCTGGAGGCGGTGTAATCCCCCTGGAGTGCCAAGCGTGCCGTCGTCTGCGCCGTGTGAGCACCTATCACCTGCAGGTTCATTTCTGAAATGGAGACACTGAAGTCATTAAAAGGGACCCGAACCATTCATCTTAACTCTTTTTTTTTAAATCTAAATAATATTGAGAAAATAATTCTAAAAAAGCTAGATAGAAACTTTGTTTTAAAATTGTACACATTCCTTTTGAGATTTAAATCTGTAGTCCTCTTACACTTAATCCCTGTATACACGCAATATAGTCTGTCATGGGCAAACAGTGACCACCTGGATACACCTAAAACACCATGTTTACTTGACCAGTCAGTCACAACTAACACAATGTCACCAACCTCTCTCTGCCACATTCCTGTCCTTTGTGATGGGTTTGCTTTGGGTGAGGACTCTCATGGCTTGAGAGCCCTCTAGGTCTGTGTATTTGATCTGTAACTGGAAAGGCAGTTCTGAGAGGTCTCCTACCCCAGCGTCACCTGTACTGGGACCAGCTTCTGCTCCAATTTTAGCCCCTGTTTCTGCTCCAACTTCATCCCCTGCTTCTGCTTCAACTTTAGCCCCTGCTCCTGCTTCAACTTTAGGTCCTGCTTCTGCTCCAACTTCAGCCCCTGCTTCAGATTCTGTTTTTTCTGTGGTCACCTGGGCGTCAGCCACTGTATTATGAAATACAAAGGGAAAATACATTCTTCTTGAACTTGACTTCAGACATAAATTTGAATATTTCTGTGGCATGAAAAAAGCCAATGTATTATGTAATTAAGGTAAAATGTTATTTTGAACCTTGGATATAGATTCACTAGTATATTTGAATTTATCAAAAGTAAGAGGAAAATACTTTTGAACCAAATCTAGTATAAAATTGATGCACAACAGATAGATATACTGCAGTATTACCAATCTCACTGAGATTCTCATGTTTAGCATATGGCTAAACCTAAGTTCATATTTAAAATCTCATAGTGAGCCCAGGTGAAGATTTTATTTTCAAATCTCATAGTGAGCCCAGGTGAAGATTTCATTTTCACTGTTTCCAAAGCAAATACATGTAGCCCCTTGTATGAACCTTCATCAGTGAGGCATTGCCAAACCATTACAGTTTTTTTTTCAAATTCAAAGTCTAACAACTGCCATAAATTTTACCTTCTTCCTTGCCTTCTTCTTCATTTTTCTTTTCCTTTTTCTGCTTTTTCTGATGCCTCACTCCATACTCGAAGGTAACCTCTGTGTCAACGGTCACATTCCCAATAAACTTTGTTGCTCTGCTCTCTTTGCTCTCTTCATCACGTATATATCTGCATGAAAATATTGTACTCTCTGACAAAACACATGATGTATGAAACAGAGATATATACAATCTAGTTTAAGATGTAAATATTACCAAATACTAGGACAGGACACGATAATTCAGCTCCTTTGAAGTTTCTGAAATTCAACAACAACCTGGATTCACCTAAGATTATTCTTGCGGACATTAGTGAACGCAGTATAATTAAATAAGCAGAAATCTAGTTTTAAAATAATTTCAAACATGATCTGAAACTTAAATGGCAAATGTTATACTTACAAGCCCTTGTGAAGAATAAACGTAGCCGTGACATTTGTTGCAATGATAGGATCTGCCAAAATACTGCCAAACTCTTGGGTAAGTTTTAGTGGATCTACTATGTTCACCTACAACATGGCAAATAAAATTAAGGATATGTCGTAATAACATTGTTATCATACATTAAATACAACAAATAATATTTCAATGGTTCACTATCATGTGGTATAAAAGGGAAAGTAGGCCATTCTTTACAGAGCATGCAGGGCCACCAAATGTACACAGGCATGTGTTGGAAATCATTAACTTTTGGCTAAAGATTCTCTTGACTTTTAGGTGCAGTTCTACAAGCACACCCACTGATGTTAAATAAACCACATCCTGGTGATACAAATATTTATATATACTGATATAGTATGAGTAAAATCTTACGTTCCTATACTTGTAGCCACATGTAATGGACACAGGGTTAATTCAGGTGCTCCATCTTACCTGTCCTCCTGTGGTGTCTGCCACTTTCCCAAGTTCTACCAGCTTGCAATCTGTCCCCTTGATTGTGATCACAGAGACACCAACACTAAACACAATGTAAGGGATACAATATACAAGTCTCCTGTTCTGTATGGAATTTTACACACATAAATGCATGCATACACAAACAGAGTTCGATTACACAGTAAAAAATAATAAAACTTGTTGAGGATCAAGTATTCTCTTGGTCTGTACCAGTAACGATCACTCTTGACAGAAAACAAAGTGTTACAATTAATATCGTTATCCACTGAAAAAATAACTTTAAAAAGACCATGCAGGTACTAAATGCCATCATTTGAGGTGCCAGACAAAACAGAAAAAGTGCAAGGCTAGGATAACAATCTGTTTTAGTAATGCTATTACTGTTAAAAAAAAAAAAAAAAAAAAAAAAAAAATTCACCATCACTCTGTCAGAAATTTCAATATTCCCAATACAACACTCTTGGATAAATATCTATGGCATGTTCAACATATTTTGTTAAAGTACCCTCACCCTTTGTCAACAGCCATCTGTCCAACCTCTGTATAGAACTCCTCTGCGGCCTCCTGGCTATTTTCTTCATCCAGTCTCCCCAGGCCAACATTGGCCATGCCATCTGTGCATATGATCACCTTGGAGGCCGTGTATTTGGATGCCATGGCGACAGCTATTAACAGTGCTGGTCCAAGAGCTGTGCCTCCTCCCTCCTCAAGGCTAGAAAAGATATATATGAAATCATTCATCATAAGAACTTGAGCTCCCTTTTGTCTCAAAACAATACAAATGGAGACAAATTATACTTTTTCCCTTTTGTTAGAAATGATTTCAGCATGATAAATCATAAAATCATTTTTACTAAAGAAACGTGTTTATCCAATCAGACACACTTACTCAAACACTTTTTTGTCCAAGTTCTGCCTTGTATCTTTGACATTCTTTGGTAGCTGAAGGTCAGAGGCTATGTCAACTAGGGCATCTTTGGATGTCAGCTTGTCCCCGGTTACTGTAATGGGGGTTCCAGAGCCATCTCCTATAACTGTCACCTGAAATATGGTAATTAAATCACTGGAAAATGAGCAAAATCTGATTACGGGACAATGTAGTGTTTGTGGAAGTGAATGTTGGATGTGAAAGGTTAAGAGTGACAGTTTAACTAATAGTAAGGGTTCACATCACAGCCATCTGCTGAGAGAATATGACAGTGTGTTAGGTGTGATAGTGTTTTGTGACAAAAGCTTGTTAGTGTGACCACAGTTCACAGTCACAGCACTCCAGGGGTGACAAGACAGTGCTAATAGGATGACATAACAGTGCTGAGAGAATGGCATGACAGTGTGAGAATGAGACGGAGAGGGTGGTTTACCTTGATACATGCAAGGTGTTACAGAACATGACATCACTCACCTCATTGTTGAATTCAATAAGAGCCACCCTACGGTTCGGATGGTCCTTTTCTAACTCGGCCAGCTGATGTGCCACTGCTGCCTGGACACCCTGTAGTCTGGACACATAGGTCACATCATGGCGCTGACCGGGGAGATGCTGGTCTTCATGACGCTCGTTAAATGACTGAAGTCTACTCAGGCGCTCTCTACCACGCAAGTTTACTTTACCTGGAACCTGGAACACGCAGAAAGACTATCAAATCTCCAGTTAATAAATCATATTTTAATACTTTAAAACTTCACCAAAATCAATAACATTCAGTTAAAAACTAAAGCATTTTTGTCTCTTCCCAATAACTGGCAATTAACTAGAAGCAAATATTTCAATTCCAATATCAATTGAATATCATACTTGCAAAAAGGCAAAATATACATGTGTAAAAAGAATACATATATACAATAGCATATGTAGTATCACCCACTGTACCTCAGTCGTAACACACATACTGCCAGAAGTGTCCACTACAAATATGACCACAGACTCGTCAGCCCCAGACTTCCCACTGGCCGTGGTCACTGGAGCTGGCTGGATCATATAGGTTACGTCCTCTTTCTGTGGCATCTCCTCTGGCACCAGGTCCACAATGTTACCCTCCCCACAGAATTCACACGTCCACACCTGAGGAAACAAGACGGAAATGGCATAAAAGACCTGGTCATTTTTGTGCATGATTCCTTCATTTAATGCATGTCCTCTGTTGTATCAAGGAGGTTTGTTATTTTCTTCTAAAAAGGGGAAGTCTTTTTATGTGAAAAAGTGGACCTTGTTACCCACTTAATTGAACCCACTCAATTCTCAACTAATGGTGAAGCACGAGTGGTTCCCTTAGTCAATACATTTGTACAATCCAAATGTGTCGCACATATAACTGACATATATGTATATGTGAGAAATCTGAGTTTTCCAAACACTAACCTGGTCCTCTCCCTGATTATGCAATTTGCTGATATGGGACAGAAGAGCCTGGCACTTGCTGCAAGACACTGGGTCCCCTGTGTGCATGTGGCTGGGAGATGTCAATGTTTGGAATTTGATAGAGACTACATTAGTGTCGGCTCGTCTGAATTTCTTCCCTTGAACATTGGCCTGTGTTACACCTGTAATGATGAGGTAATTGTGGCTTGCATGGCTAGCTCAAGTTTAATTTATTGATGCACTTTTGCTTCTTCATTTTCTAATCCACATGACTGCCTGTTATAAGACAAGCCCCTTATTGCTATGAAATTTTTTAAGTTTTGTAAAATTTGTTTGCTTCATGTCAGAAAGAGAATGTTATGAGTGTCTAAAAAAATAATGAAATGTACGAAAGTAAAATACTGGAAAAATGGAGGCATTTTAAATTCCCTCCTGATTACCTTTCATTATAATGAAATTTATGAAATCAAGATCCCATATCTCACCTGCTGCAGGCACAGACCTCCAATGGCTCATCTTCTTCTTCTTCTTCTCAGATTTGAGCTGGCCTGGTTTAGGAGCAGATGCATGCTCTTTTGGTTTTGAAGAAGATCCACGAAGACTTGAAAAAAAACTCGAGAAAAATCCTCCAGACCTCGGGGGTAGGGGTGGAGGAGGGGGTGGGGCTCCACCTGCCAATGGAGGGCCACCTCCTAGAAATCAAAAGAACCATCTTTAAATAAAACGTAATTGAATAAATAAACAATGATATGCCCCTTCATATATGACAAAGTTAAAGTTTGATATCAAATTAACTTAATTATATCTTGTCTAAACAGACCATGTGAATATAACTTGTATCATACTGACAGCCAATTTAATGCTTTTATTTAATGTGATTGTAACTTATTAAATGTGCTTAAATCGTTATTTTCAAGGTACCTCACATAAAACGCCCCTTTTGTCCTACATAGTTGCATAATGTCACATCAGATGTTACATACGAGATGTGACAGCTTGCAACTGGTGNGAGAGGGTGGTTTACCTTGATACATGCAAGGTGTTACAGAACATGACATCACTCACCTCATTGTTGAATTCAATAAGAGCCACCCTACGGTTCGGATGGTCCTTTTCTAACTCGGCCAGCTGATGTGCCACTGCTGCCTGGACACCCTGTAGTCTGGACACATAGGTCACATCATGGCGCTGACCGGGGAGATGCTGGTCTTCATGACGCTCGTTAAATGACTGAAGTCTACTCAGGCGCTCTCTACCACGCAAGTTTACTTTACCTGGAACCTGGAACACGCAGAAAGACTATCAAATCTCCAGTTAATAAATCATATTTTAATACTTTAAAACTTCACCAAAATCAATAACATTCAGTTAAAAACTAAAGCATTTTTGTCTCTTCCCAATAACTGGCAATTAACTAGAAGCAAATATTTCAATTCCAATATCAATTGAATATCATACTTGCAAAAAGGCAAAATATACATGTGTAAAAAGAATACATATATACAATAGCATATGTAGTATCACCCACTGTACCTCAGTCGTAACACACATACTGCCAGAAGTGTCCACTACAAATATGACCACAGACTCGTCAGCCCCAGACTTCCCACTGGCCGTGGTCACTGGAGCTGGCTGGATCATATAGGTTACGTCCTCTTTCTGTGGCATCTCCTCTGGCACCAGGTCCACAATGTTACCCTCCCCACAGAATTCACACGTCCACACCTGAGGAAACAAGACGGAAATGGCATAAAAGACCTGGTCATTTTTGTGCATGATTCCTTCATTTAATGCATGTCCTCTGTTGTATCAAGGAGGTTTGTTATTTTCTTCTAAAAAGGGGAAGTCTTTTTATGTGAAAAAGTGGACCTTGTTACCCACTTAATTGAACCCACTCAATTCTCAACTAATGGTGAAGCACGAGTGGTTCCCTTAGTCAATACATTTGTACAATCCAAATGTGTCGCACATATAACTGACATATATGTATATGTGAGAAATCTGAGTTTTCCAAACACTAACCTGGTCCTCTCCCTGATTATGCAATTTGCTGATATGGGACAGAAGAGCCTGGCACTTGCTGCAAGACACTGGGTCCCCTGTGTGCATGTGGCTGGGAGATGTCAATGTTTGGAATTTGATAGAGACTACATTAGTGTCGGCTCGTCTGAATTTCTTCCCTTGAACATTGGCCTGTGTTACACCTGTAATGATGAGGTACATTCATGAGGGAGATGTAATTGTGGCTTGCATGGCTAGCTCAAGTTTAATTTATTGATGCACTTTTGCTTCTTCATTTTCTAATCCACATGACTGCCTGTTATAAGACAAGCCCCTTATTGCTATGAAATTTTTTAAGTTTTGTAAAATTTGTTTGCTTCATGTCAGAAAGAGAATGTTATGAGTGTCTAAAAAAATAATGAAATGTACGAAAGTAAAATACTGGAAAAAATGGAGGCATTTTAAATTCCCTCCTGATTACCTTTCATTATAATGAAATTTATGAAATCAAGATCCCATATCTCACCTGCTGCAGGCACAGACCTCCAATGGCTCATCTTCTTCTTCTTCTTCTCAGATTTGAGCTGGCCTGGTTTAGGAGCAGATGCATGCTCTTTTGGTTTTGAAGAAGATCCACGAAGACTTGAAAAAAAACTCGAGAAAAATCCTCCAGACCTCGGGGGTAGGGGTGGAGGAGGGGGTGGGGCTCCACCTGCCAATGGAGGGCCACCTCCTAGAAATCAAAAGAACCATCTTTAAATAAAACGTAATTGAATAAATAAACAATGATATGCCCCTTCATATATGACAAAGTTAAAGTTTGATATCAAATTAACTTAATTATATCTTGTCTAAACAGACCATGTGAATATAACTTGTATCATACTGACAGCCAATTTAATGCTTTTATTTAATGTGATTGTAACTTATTAAATGTGCTTAAATCGTTATTTTCAAGGTACCTCACATAAAACGCCCCTTTTGTCCTACATAGTTGCATAATGTCACATCAGATGTTACATACGAGATGTGACAGCTTGCAACTGGTGTAATAAGTCCTAAAATTATCATCAGACCTAGTACACTGTATACATGTTACCGTCATTACCAGGTATCTCCTCATATCTCTGCTCTTCCGCGTTATCATATACAGCTGCATCTGCCACCACTGGGTCCTTTGTAGTTTCACCAACATTATCATAGGCAACAGCAGCTGCTGCTACAGCTCTGGGAGCAAGCTCATCATAATCACTTTCGTCATCACTGAAAAATTACAGCTGTGGTTAAAGAAATGACCCAAACTTTAGAATTCAAAGGCTATTACCTAAAGCTATCCATTGTGATTCACTAAAATTTCACACATTATTTCTTTCTTGCTACCGTCTCATTGCTAAGGTATGAAAAGTGTTAGCAGAGTCATGTAAAAGTCATCCTATAAATATAATATATGTCTTTATAGTTCAAGCACTTCTTGTTTTAAAGGAATATTTCTAGTAAGTCATCCTAATGTTCATTAAAATTTTGGAAAGTATGTACAATATGTTGTAAAACTACATTAACATGGACAAATGTATGTGGTATGCAGCCTTCAACTTCAAGTTCTGTACACTTTGTCTTATCATCATTAAATCACCTCCATTAGTTATACTGGCGTGGTAGTACCAGTATACAGACTGAGGGCTGTTCCCCCGAAAAGGCTACATGGCTAACAATCTTCACTTTCATGATTTTAAGTTTTCAAGAGTAGAGCATATACATGTACATCAATCTACCAATAAATGGACGTGTGCTGCAGACAAACTGCCATCTTGGGAATTCCCGAGAGTAGAGCCTACATATACATCTACTAATAAATGGGTGAGTGCTTCAGACTGAAACTGTAATTTTCGGAATTCCCCGAGATAAGAGCACCCTATATACATTGTAAATCTATGGACAAGTGCCAAGTACTACACGGTAGTACAATATGCAATAACATAATAAGCTATGCATGTACAGTGTATTTTGTTCATCCGAAAAGTCTTGTGGGTTGATATGATGCATTATAAATACAAGCACCGGTAGCTAGTAATTTGAAATCTTGATTAAACCACCGACCAAACAAGCAAAGAAACAAGTAAACTGGCATCAAAATCAAATGGTAGACAAAACTCAATTTGAAATCACACGAAAGCTTTGCATTCCTGTAAGCAGGGTGTCAGACATGTTAAACATTTCGTGTTAATTATTTACCTCAGTGTCATTCCATGTTCAAGTTCGTCTTCTGACACACATTCTTCATCAGAATTCTCGTAGTCATATACGTATTTTGAAGCGAAATCCATTTTCACTTTCTAGTTTCACAACACAGTAGCATGGAGCAACAGAAAACGCTGGTTACCGTCTCATTAGCGTCCTTTGCGTATTTGCTTCGAAGAAGAACAACAGTTTTGATTGGAATTGATATTCCAACTCTGTTAATACAGAAATTGATTACCATTAACCAAAGCTTATTAGTCTATATATTATATTCAGGTACAACTGCGACGTTCAGTACCAGCGCTTGCGGAAGTAGTTTGTAAACTAGGTCAGCTCGAAGTCACATGACGTCATCAACATGATGTGGTCAGCACCCAATCTTATCGGTGACCTCACTTTTCACTGTAATATGACGTGTAGCATTTCTTAAGCCGCGCGAATTATGCTTACAGACGCAGAAATGACGACGAAGCACACTTATTCATCAAAATGGTTTATTGACAATCTCGGTCACAAATTAATAATTAAGACTTGCTTCCTGTGTAGGGCCTAAAGCCGACTGTATAAATCTCATTCATAGGAATAGAAAAGTGGACATAAAGATTTATTCACGATTTTTTTACTTTTTCTGACATAAAGTGATGAATCTGGGTTTTGTGTAAATTTAAAATTCATGCCTTGCTAGTATGTTGAATTTTCGTATTCAGTAACGAAGGTTTTAGTCTATTTTAATAGGCCTCTAAAGAAATTTTTAAAAATGACAACCCTTTTGGATAAAATTTGCGTTAATATTGGGCCTACTATCAAAAAATTGGAGTGCGGTAAAGGGGTATAACGAGATGCACGTTTATTTTACTGACGCATTTTGTCCTTAACCTCAAGTATATATATTCTCACAGTGCCTGGTAACGAAGGTTTTGCTAATTACTGTAATAATTACACATGAGAATGCAGTTTTGCAGTGTTTCATGTAAAACACTTGACTGTGCCTCGTCACCATATCGTATTATTAATAATGGATGTAACCGAATTGAACTCTTTATTCACGTTTTCTGAATAGGAATGCTGAAGTAAGACACACATGCAGGGAAAATTGAAATGCTCAGAAATATGATTTTACTATGCGTATTCATTGGGGTGGAGATAATCTTTTTTTTACTTTTGAAAGAATGGAGCGTTTTTTTTTTTTTTGGTAAATTTTACTCAGACTTAAAAATAATAGCGAAATAGTTTCATTTAATTATATTTATTAAAATAATTGTTATTGTTGAAATTCCTTCATCAGACGTTTTATGTATTGAACTATTAATGTCAGTGGCGAATTTAGAGGGGGCTCAGGGGGGTCCTGATCCCCCCCCCCCCCTTCGGTTTCTGAAAAATATATCACACCAATATTCCCCTCTTAAAATTAGAATTTTGACTAGCTAAATTATTGTTCTAAACCGTACAAAAGGGCAGGCACTGTTTGCTCTACAAAACAACAAGGGGGTGATGGTCGGCTTCACATCCGAGGCCTGGTTTTCCGGACCTTCATATAATCCTGGATCCGCCCCCGTAATATGCCCTTTACTTCAATGCCTTAACTACTGTGGTATATCCCGTCTTATTGTATTTTAAAAATAAAATTAAAATGCGTTAAATTTTCAAAATTGTAAAGATTACCGAACTTTAAAGGATTTTACACTTATAATAATAATAATAATAATAATAATAATAATAATAATAATAATAATAATAATTAAAAAGTTACGACTTTCCTGCAAAATCAATGTTTCTTTGAAAAAGGTGAGAATCATTGGTCGACTTGAATTTGATGTTTCATACCACATTTTCCACCGTAATGCCATTTCTCCCTGAACATTGCAGAAGGTAATAGCAATGACAAGTAAGGATTTTATCAGATATCATACTTTTTAAAACAACGAAAGACTCTAAATTGGGATTTAAAAGTAGTCATAGAAAATATGGCTTCGGTGCATTTTCAAACTCCTAAATTTATATAATTCTTTTTAAATAGCAGCAGTGTTTGCTAACTTTGGCAAATGAAGTAATCGAGTGGTTTTTCGATACTTAAATGTGCGTCAACTAACTTGTTAATATTGACTGAATGCATGCCCTAAGCCTGACGACTAGGTAAATAAAACTGTTTACGCAGGTAACGGCAATGTATTGATTTAAGAGCACGTGATCGTCTTTCACGCCTTCTATTATATTTTTTCAAAACTCAGTTCAATAAGTTCAACCATTTGACTTAACTGGAAATTCCCACATTTGTTTGCTACTTTTCGAAAATTCCCAATATGATAAAAGTTTGGGAAACTCTTACAAGAGTTAATAAAGAATTTTGGTTTTTTACTTGTCGTCGTCGGTGCGACAAGTTACTCATCATATATTTAATGGGCGTCGTTTGCAGTTCTAACCGAGTGACAGACATCACCACTCGTCCTTCACATAGAGAAACGACCAGACCCCCTGCAGCGCTGGTTGTTGAGGAGTACGATTTTACAGACAATGTACCTGAGACGTCCAGTCAATCTACAAGTGGTTTGTGGATACCGAGCGAAAGTCGTTTTAGCGCTTTGTCTTTGGGGCGAACATTCACACCAGGATCGATCCATAAAATTAAAGAAACATCCATCCCTCGGTCCACCAAATGTTCGCTGGATCCTAATACCAACAAATCAGAAAAATTAGCTGAAAGAACCAGCCGAAGATTGTTCTTTGACCAGCCGAGTGGGAGTGAAGTAATTCACAAGGACGTGCTGCCGTCATGCCAAGAGCGTCAGCAAGACACCTTAAAATGTCACTCTGAAAGTGGTTTGTTGGACAAAAGTAATTTTAGTACTGGTCGGGTGACGAGTGCTAACAGCACCACGCATCCTTCACAGAGAGAGCAGACCAGACCCCCTCCAGTGCTGCTTGTTAAGGAGTGCGATTTGACAGACAAAGTACCTGAGACGACGTCCAGTGAAGCTGGAAGTGGTTTGTGGACACAGTCGTTGGGACGAAAATCCAGACCAGGATCGATCCAGAAAACCAAAGAAACATGCATCCCTGTGCCATCCAAATGTTCGTTGAGTCCTAGATCCATCAGATTGACAACAACATACACTGGACAGCTGAGTAGGAGTGAAGTGGTTCACGTGGACGTGCCGCCGTCATGGCGAGAGCGTCAGCGAAGCACCTTATGCGATTCTGGACTTGACACATCAAGTGACATATTCCAAAGTCGTGACTCCACGTTTTGTTCTGGTGGCACGTCAGGATTCTACAGGCCCTCCTCATCGACGACGATTTACAATATCTACAGATATCAATGTTGTCAGTTTGGCACCGAAAATAAACAATTATTGTCACCAGAAGGGACTTTCTTGTCAAACAGCACTTCCTCATATGCGGAATATGATACTGCAGCAGAGGATGTGGATCTAAGTTATTTTGACGACATTCCGTTACCCTGAAGGAACTTAATGTACACTTGGATTACCTTACAAGAGACAAATCACGGATGTCACTTAGGCTCAATAGACTTGAAATCATGTATCTTGTTTCATGTATCTTTAAAATTCAGAAATTTCTGACTTTGGTTTACGGTTTCCAACATGCGACGTACAATCACCAAAAAAATAAGGTTATTTTAAAGATGTATCATATTGGTGTGCTGTGCTTCTTTCAGTTATTTTTTGGCTATCAAAGTATATATATAAATATTATTCAAGGCATTTTAATTTGTTCGTGTTCTCATGGATAAAGGGACATATTTCACTTATGTATATAGACAAGTGTATTTTGTAATTATTTCATAAATTTAGCAGAAATGAATGCTTTACAGCCTTTACAGCGTAAATGCTTGCAAATATTCTTCAGCGACGATGTGATATTTTTATTTATATAATCGTACTTTTAGTGTGTTTACAACTTGTATTTTGTACTACCAGTATCTGCCAGTATTCAAGCTGGAATAAATTATCCGTCCATCCATCTGATCATTTGGCTTTATGATTTATTTATACCATGTTGAAATCATTCGTATGAAAATGTTCAGTAAATAATTATTACACATTATGATATCAGACACGTTTCGGATCAATTTGAAATAAAAATTGAACGAAAAGTTAATTGCTTGACAGTTGCTAAATTGTCACTAGTGAAGCAAATGAATCTTTGGCGGGAAGTAAATGTAAGTACCTAACAACAGAAACAGGTTACCGTTCTACAAATGCTCTTTTATTTATAAAGAATCCTATTAACGTAATAAAAATACGTTTTCAAAAATCTGGTAGTAGTAGTAGCCGTTTTCTTTACATGAGCTAATGGTCAAATATTACACTTGGAAAATGACCCAAGGAGAAGGAAAATAATTATATTTGTACTGTTACTCTGAGAATACGGTTTCGGCGTTAAGTGCATGCAACACAAGAAACACGTATAAAAGAAGCTAAACCCATTATAGAAAACAACAATCACCTACTGAGAGGTGAATTAAATCTACCCACATACCCGGTACACGTCCTAGTATATTGAAAGGGAGATGAGCAAAGCTCTGTCATGACTGTGAACACGGCCTGCGGTGCAGACAATTGCAAATTTCGCAAAATGAAAACAATTCTAGTCAAGCGTTTAGAATTTTTGCTCTGGATTCACTTATTCTAAAGACAACTGTTTACACACATTCTGTCAGTGTTTTAAATTTTAACAGTGCTTATTTCACGACTAGAATAACAAAGACATAGATACATTTGACATAATTTGTGAATCCAAGCTTGATACTGATCACCAGATAGTACAATTTGATAGAAAAAATATATAGCTATCTCCTTCTTTAATCTAAACTGTATGGTGCTGCAATAATTTGAAATAATGAAAATGACTACCTTTATGTGTGATCAGGGAGATATTTTAGAGAAAAATTTCAAAGAAAATAGGTTAACTGTTGTAAATATTCCAGAACAGCTGAAGGAACCATGCTCCGGCAAAAATCAGTGTATTTCACACCTTCTGTACAAACATTTTCAGACTGAATGAGTCTGTGATATCCTACCATGATATCTGTTTAAATCCAATAAAATGCACTCTACAATTGATACAGAATCAACAGATAAAAAATAAACTTACAAAATTGAAAATGTAAACAAATTTTCAAGTACTGATTATGTACACTGTATATATCTAAGTATGAAACCAGAGGCCTGTTTCACAAAATGACTGAAGTTGAAAATTTGTCAAAGCAAAGATTTATGTGTGAATAAATAGCTAAGCTGATCTAAAAAGACTCTGCCTACCTTGTTTTGTTGGTTTTTTACCAAGCCCACAGAGCATATTGTGATTGTCTTAGTGATGATTTTAACTCTTGAGTGGTGATGATAGCCACTTCAATATCACAACTACATGTATACACTTATAATTTCAAATGTCCAGTTTAGCAGTCTAAGCTTAACCTCAAAACTGAGTTTTTCTTTGTGAAACAGGCCTCAGAACTGCCAGAACAGAATCTTGTAATAAGCAGACAACATAGATCATCTGCACAAAAATGTAACCGACTTTATCAGAACCAATATATTCATTCTCAAAACAATTAACCAATTATTTTTTCTTGAAACAAACAATGGCATAATTTGTCCAATACGGACAAATATCTTATGTGGAATTGAAAACCAAATCCCTTATTGTTGCTTGCTCAAATATTCAAACTGATTGCCTTTGCATTTAATGCTGGTATTATCTAAATCTGCTCTTCATAAAACATTAAAAACTTTAAAATTAATAGATTTACCGTAATTGGTGAAAGTGGCATACATTTATCAACAATATAGAATTCACAGACCAGTATCTGCAAAGTAACAGATACAATTTTGTTATAAAAATGTAAATCAATTTCTCAGCTTATCAAGAATACAGTCAACAAAGCATATCTCCTGAGCATATTGTGAACCTTTAACAACTGTAGTAAACATATGACAGAAAGATCAAGTCTTTTCCTTTGTAAAAAATAGCTGATACATAACTGTACACAAAGACAATGAGATATATATATATACACATATCTAGACTCTTTACTTTTCCTGTATAACAACCCTCAGTTATTCATCCTTTATCTAAAATAGTGCAAAAATCATTTCTTGTTAACACTGAAATTCTGAATACAGAGGTATTAATCTTGCTTCTCTCTTTCGTTTTTAGATTTCTCTAGTTCTGCCGTGTAAAGAGCTTCCTTGGCTAAGTAATTCTCTCTCAGCATCTGGATCTTGATGAAACCTGGTACATCAGGGATGATGAAGGCAACAATGAAGCGAAGTAAGAATACAACATGCTGGAAGATAAGAAACAAAGCTGATATAGTTACAGTATAACCCCTGTGCTGTGATTAAATTGGATGTTTATTCAGACTGTGTGAAAACATGGTTAACAAAACTGTCACAGACCCTAAATTGGTCTGAAATTTTAGACTAAAAGTTGGCCAACTTCAGTTCACAAAAAAATCAATAGTAGTCCACTTAGTAACAGTAAATGTTTGAAATGACTTAATTTCCACAAAGATCCAGGAAACATGTTTTGATATAGTATTCTGAATAAAGAGATGAGGTGCACTTGGTATTGGAAATGGCATTAAAGGCTTTAAAAGCACCATAAAATTGGTTCATGGATTTTTTTAACATAGATCTTCTGTCACCTAAATCTCGAAGTTCCAAAAATTTAAAGCACTCTGAAATTGTTATTCTATAAATTTTCACAACACTGACTCAACATATTTGAAAAACAGTAAAACAATTGTTTACCTCAAAGACCAATACAAAGGCTAGCCTGGCAGCTAAGACATGCCAGTATGTGAGAGTGGGGTTGTAAGGTGCGTGGTCCTCACGGAAATCTCGGTACCTTTAAAAATTACAAAATAGAGTATGTATACTATGTTGAGTACATTAACTATCATGCAGACAGAGTAATGTGACCTTAGGGGAACATTTGGTTACAAATACAAGATATAATACTGTTGTTGATTTTTCAAATTAAAAGAGTCTACTTGTCATTAATGAAGCAAATTTTTGAAAATGGACTCTACTTAGAGAATTGTTTTTTTTTTTNTTGGGGGGGGGGGGTTCTTCTCCAAAAAACACATTAATGAGAGAACATTTAAACAGTTACATAATATATAAGTTTGAAACTAAACAGTGACTGTTTTTGTGTTACAACAGTGTTTTTCAGTCAATCTCTGTCAAAGATCTTGATAGCATGAATCCTATTGTGTCTGTGCATGAAATATATGAGTGATTACATTATAACAAAATCTAGACTACTTACATGCAGCTAGTAACATTTCCAAAAACATCTATTTTAGGATCGTTGGGGATACTTTTATTCTGGAAATCTTTGACATCAAATGAAGATAAGGAGAAGTTTGTGTATCCAGTCAGATCCCCAGTGGTACTTTGTGTAAACAGATATAGCTGCTTTGGAACAAACTCTGATGTGAAACCAATAATGAAGGCCTGAAATATAAAAGAGATATTTCATAGGTTAAAAAATGTTATGCAGAATTTCAAATTGGTTTAAATACAAAACTGCACTTAAAAGTTTTTATTCTTTCCTAAGTTCAATGTACTTGTAAATAATAAGGACAGCAGATGACTTTTTATAAGTAAAAAATACAAGTAATTTTACATACAAAGCAGCACATAAAATGTTTGTTTCATACTCAGTTAAAAATAAACAATTGAGTATCAGCAGAAGTGTTATGGGTGTGGTTTAAAAAGGTGTTAACATGATAAGTGATGGTGGCATGGTTGTTGTAACACTGTTAGATGTACTTACATTAGTGAGCACCGAGAGCATACTTAAAGTGTTCAGGATTCCCCACCAAATGCCTGGAATGATGAACATAATAACTATTAAGCAGATTAATTTAATAATAAATGTAATATTTATATCATTTTAAATCAAGCAAATCAGGTCCCATAGGTAGGGTGGGTTTTGGAGGTACAATCGGACCCACCATATTGGATGAGAAAAGGTCCCCTCTGAATCAAAATTACGTTCAATACCATCACTTGCACAGTTAAAAGGTCTACATTTTCAGAAAAAAAAAAAACATTACCTATATCTTGCGCCCTGTCTGCCAAAGGTCTTCTCCACTGTGTGACAAACTTGTAAGCATCCAGTCGTATCTCAATAACATTGTTGATCAAAGCAAACAGAGGTGCCAGTGGAAACGCAGCCACAAACAAGGTGACAAAACCGTATTGTAGGACTATAATAAGAGAAAAAAGTTATGATTCAACTATGATATTATAATACGTTGACCAAAGTTATTTGACTCTATGAAGATGGAAATGATTTGTATATCTTCAATGCAGTAATATCCATTGTTTCATACTTATCTGAAACTGACAATAGACACTGGGTGTAGTGAATCACTGAAACTTTATTTGTCGTCTTTGGTTTTAAAAAGTCATACCCATTTCCAAATATTCATCAAAGAGTCCAAGAGGTGGCATGGTGCCAAGATCAAAGTCCTGCTCCCATCTTGTGTAGAGATTTGTCTCCTCTATCTTCTTAGAATTCCGGGCGCGGCAGAAGTTCATGATCTTCCTAAAATTCCAAATACCTCAACATAAATATCAAGATATCTTGAGACTTGAAAAAAGATTTTTAATTTGTTTCAATGACTGATTTTACATAGTGTAAGAGTATAAAACTTTCTCATTTCATTAACTTTTTGTTATTGAAAAACATTTCTCTGTAAAGATATTTAAAATGATAGTGTGTTAGGTGTGACATTTTCTTAAATATGATTGTGTTAGGTGGTACTATGTTAGGAAGCATTCAGAACAAGTTGATCTGCAGACTAACAGATCCACTATAATATAATATATAGCCGACCTACTTGTAAGCTTCCCACATATTCCCCAAATAAACACTGAATAGATTCCTTGTGGGGATTCCGCAGTAAACTTTCAAGAGGGTCAGCCATATTTGATCCACAGACCTGTTAGTCTGAGGATCAATTTTGCATGTGACGCAGCCTTAGACACAGGATGCAAGTGCTCTGCGGGACGTTCAACTTACGGTATAATAATTTCCTTGGTGTTGTTGAAGGCTTGCTTGCCCACCATGATAATCATGAGCTGAATGCACAGCTCAATCAAACAGCCTGCAGGATCACACTGAAACACAGGCAGTCTCAAGATATTTTCAAAAGATATTTTCATGTGTTAAACATGCTTATGATTAAACATAATGTCTATGTTACATTTGTTTTCTGGATTGTGGTTACTGCTTATGCTTAACAAGAATATCATTAAATCTGATGGAAATAAGTACAGTATTTTACATTAATTAAAGGCATTCAAGTTCACACCAAAGTTTGGTGCTCTTTTTAAAGAATGAAATTGAAAAATGCAAAGAACTTTATTATGACAAACGTAACAAATGTCCCATTACATATTATATTGCATGTTAGTTCAAAGATTCATATCACTAAAATAAAGGAGTAAAAATTGAGAATCAAATCAAGTTAAAAGGGGCTAGGTTTGGGTAGAACATAACATTTTTCGAAATGCACAACTCCCCCCCCCCCTTTTTAGCATCAAGTATGACATTCTTTCTCTTGTTATTCACTGGATTGGAGAGAAGAAAAGTCTTTCAAATAACCCATCTATAAAATATTATAAAAGGTATTTCTCAAAGGAATTTAGCCTGTATATGCCAACACAAAGCCAATAAGAATCAAACTTATACAACCTTTTTCCACTGCAATATTGGAACATCATTTGCCATAACAGACTTAATTTTAATCAAATAATAGATTAGTAACACTATCGAGTGCATAGATCTCAAACATTTGCCAAATTCAGTGAGGCGGATATTTAGGCTGGTGTGCATTGCTGTGTCAGTACAGAGACAAGCAAACTAAGGTTAAATACTGCAACTACAGGGGCCCGTTTTACGAAGCAGTAGTTAGTTAGAGATCGGTAGTTAGCCTCTTGCTAGTTATGAGTACCATTTCACGAAGCTATCGCTAGTTCTCTCGCTCTTTATTGTGTCGTTGTTACTATGGATATTTAGTGACTGGTCAGAGCAGTCGCTAACTCTAGAGTTTCATCGTACGCATGCTTAATGAATGAAATAGAAAGGTTGCTTAGTTACCGTTGTCTGTTGTTTGTCTTTGTATCCAATATGGGGACGACCTTTCTTGCTATCCATACCACCAGACGGCAACGTAAACTACGACGTTTTCATGATAGGCAGAATCTATTAGAATATACACCCGATGATCGATGCAATTTACGAGAGGTTGCGCCTAGCTGTGACAAAAAGAGCCGCAAAAAGGTGGTGGAGATCCTTTACGACGACCTCAAAGCAGACGTTCTTATGCATTTCCAACTGCCGGAAATTGGAGAGTTAGAGCTTTCGCGACATGTTTACGCAAGAGTTCCACTTCCGGTAAACTGTTTCAAGACTACAGTGAGTAACGAGAGAACTAACAACCAAACTTTACGACTGAACTTAGCGATGAGTTAACAACTGCTTGTTGAAACACCCCTAAAGTTTTCTCGTTAGCGAGATAGTTCAGTAGTTAGTTATTCTAACTAACCACTGCTTCGTGAAACAGGCCCCAGGTTTGGTGCAAGAAGAGCAGGGTTGACAAATACATTTTCAATATTTGATCTTTGTGTTATTCCTTTGTTTTGACATTATAAACAATAAATGAAGACAAATTGGGAACATATAATATTGGCAACCCTGATTCTGCTACTGCTATGCTATTGTTACATCTATTAAATACTACTACTACTAAAATAAAGGCATATGATGCATGTTAGACCTTAATAAATATAATAAATTCAATTTCTTTAATTTCTGCCACATTCCCCTAGTCACCAAGGTACTCCTATTAACAACGTTGACAAAAGGGGAAAATTCCAGGGAAATTAAAATTTTTGACATATAAAGGTCTAACATTCATAGTGTGATTTGGAACTATAATTATAACTGGTAAACATAAAAAATAACAAAAGCAAAGCATATCTAGTGTTAAAGTGTTAAAGACTATAACCTCTTCCTGGCGGAACCCCAGCAAATGGTAATCATAATCACCAGGCCTCCCAACAAACCTGCAGAAATGAATGTTGTCAGATATTAAGCAATGAAATTCAGGGTGCAACTAGAGCAGTGGTAGAGAATATAATAAGTATGCTGCATATTTAGTAACTGGTTGTCAGTGAAACTGAGGAATATCCTAATGGCTCTGAAAAAATGTGATAATATAGGGAAAATGTGGTGACAGAAACCCATGCATATATTGATACAGCATGAATTCATACTAAATATACAATAATTATAAGGAAGTTATGTGTCAATGGGCAGATAAAAAATGTTTATAGTGTTCCTGTGCTCACTCTAAAAAATGTTTTCTCTCCTTTGTCTTTGAATACAGTAATATATTTATGCAATTATGTTAAAATCATCATTCCAATCAAGATGTGGTTTCAATTTGTCAATATTTTAAGCATTTCATCCCTGGTCAAAAACTAATTTTTGTTGGCACATGGCAAAAGTGGAGTGAGCTCAGAGTTTCCATGACAATTATTAAGAAAATATTGAGAAAAAAGGCATTAAAAAGCAGGAGATGGGGACAGGACCACAATCTCCAATTATATCTATCCTCTACTCCAAAGCCAAGTACTGTAAGTAATACAACGGCATAGATAAGAGTGTTCCAGCAAAGGTCACAGGAAACATTACTGTGTACCTCTTCCAATCTGAATCCAAAAATATAATTGTCTCCACCATTGAGGTTGCCTGCAAAGCTGTGTAAGTAATGGCAGTGGTATTTATACCGTTTCTGTTATATTTGCAATTTTTAAATCACAAATCTTTTAAATTATTACTAAAAGCCTGACTTAAAGCCTTATTAATCCTAAGGGATTCTTCAGTGATTTGCAGTATGATGTTAATCATGAGATAAGGCTGAAGCTTTTATTAAAATCATTTCTTAATATGGTCTTTCAATTACTCTTTCTTACTTTCCATTTCTTGGTTTTCATTTTTAAGTGCATCGATATGTAGTCAGCAAATGTACAGCATCTAGTTTCTCTAAGTCATAGATACTTACCATTCTATGTCAAATTATCAGTTACATAAATGATTTTGTTTACTGGTACATCATTTTGAAGTTATAACTAATACCTGTGAAACAGTATCATTTTTAAAATCTAACTATAAACTACAAACAACTAGAGGATCAGAGAGGCGATACCGCCTCCGGATATTGTACCACCAGCTGGAGTAAGCGCATTCGTATGGACCCCCCCTCCAAAAAGGGACACCATCACCAGTCTTGTGCTTGACAAGCTCTATAAGATGCAATCAACAAGAGTTCTCAAATATGCAAAAAAATATAACTAAAAATGGTACAATCAAGCAGATTTTCGAATTGACTTGCATTTTCCTACCCTTGATAACTCCTGTATTCTCTAGACAAAAGGCCTATTGGTTTTCCTTGAAATGTGTTGTCAATGGTGCATATATGCTGACAAAAGAGAAAACCTAGGGGCAAAAATGGGTACATCTCTGCTAGTTTTAAAGATATGCGAGGCAAGAAAATATGCAAAGCTCAGTTCATGGTGAAAAAGTAGGTGAAAGGTCAATTTCAATATCATAGTATATGAATTTCTATTCAAGTTCAATAGCAACCATGGGCATTTCTTTGC